TTGTAATGATACAAATTTACATTGAATGTAAAGCTAAATAATAGTTAAAAATGCTAAATATAAAGTGGATGTATAGTTATAATGGATACATACTTCAAATCCCAAAGGGCAATTCGTTCTACAGTTCAAAAGCGGACATCCGCGATGGGTGAACGCATTGTTGTTAGACACCATGATCTCGTGCTCAAACGGTGCTGCAAATCGTACGATTTGTAAATCCCGAACGGTTTTTATATGAAATAATGATTTAATACGAGAAATTAGAATAATGAAAGAATAATTAAAAGGGTAAAACGGCGCGATAATTAGTGCGTAATGGATTTTTAGTGTAAAATATACGTAGTATTTATTTTATGATAACATCTATTGGAGAATCGAACGAGAACGGGTATGTATAATAATTACAGAAATTGTCATTGCACATAATGAGAAAAGTATTTACTTAAATACATCATAAAATCATAAATTCAACTCTCTAAAAGTGTATTATTACTGATTTCAGTGCTACACTTATAGCTGATGTAAATACCAGCGAATATTTACGTTTTTCAAGTAATAATACACTGATTCATTTTTAGAGATTACGATTTTCTGCAGATTCAATCTGTAGAAACCATAACTTTTAAAAATGAATCATTGTATTAGTACTGAAAAACAGTAAATATTCATGAATATTACAGTTATTAGTAGTACTGAAATCAGTGATAATACACCGATCTACTTTTACAGAGAAGATATGAGAGATCAAATATTAAAGATTCAAAGTGCATCCACGAGCGGCAAAGTTTACCTGCGTGTTTTTTAAGAAATCAGTATTTCTTATATTTATTATTGTAATGTATATTAGTAGGAATACATGTTCGCACTAAAAGAAAATAATCAATTTTTTAAAGAGATATTACAGCCCTAAATGTGCGATTGAACCCTTATAAAAAAAATATGTATCCCTTACTTTGATCTGGAGAACAACATATTAAAAACTTATCAAAATTGAAAGAGAACTTCGTGTTTCCTGATAAGAATAAATAATACAATGCTGGAAAAAAAAGGATGTACCAGCGATGATCGATGTCGATAGTGAAAGGACAAGTAGTAGACAAGTCAAAGATATCAATCCAGTGGAGCAGGTAAGTCCACCGTTGTAAAAATTACGGCGCATCTTCAAGTAATTTTTTTGCTGGACGCTTTATCTGGAATGGTAATAATTACAACTTGATTAAAATACGATCTTCAACGAGAGTAAAATGAAACTATGTCCTTCGTCTTAACGCAACGTATTCTTTGTTCGATGGTGAAACTAGCGATAGGATTGAGATCATCCCCTCTGGAAAGTCTTCGGATTTAGTTAAAAGGTATAAATACTACAACGAAAACAGGAGATAACATCGATGAAAACATGATTATTTTTACACTGAGGAAAATATATACTAAATTTTAATAAATATTTATTTAAACAGTATCAAATAAATATTTATACTTGCAGCAAATAAATATTTATTCAGTAAAATTGAATCAAATTAATAATTCTTGTATCAAATAAATATTTTATACTTTTGTATTTGATAAATATTTAGTTTGTATTATTTAAACAAATGATTTGTTAAAAGGTATATATTTTTCCAGTGATGCATTGCGATACATGCGATTGATAAATGTAGGAAGCTTTACTGTTCCGGAAATTCTGACGTTTTCGGGATTCCCAATCGTTTATTTTATGACTTAAATCGAGATAGTGAGAGAAACCAAACTTTAAATAGCTGTTCTTTAATATTTTCCACAGAATGCAGAAGAATAAGATAAAAATAATATTATTTTTCCTTCATAAAAATATGCCAAACATATTCATTCACTTCGATTTAAATAAGGGAACAAATTCGATCGCGCGAAAAAGTTTTCGCCAAACGCACAGTTTGTTAATTATTTATGAGATTAAAATTATATATAATTAAAAGTTACAGTTAAATGGAATCAAAATTTAAATCCACGCGGTTGAAATAAACGAACGCTTTAGTTCATAAAACACAATTGTAACATAATTGAACAGTTGAACAACAGTATACTAATATTTCTGCATTTTCATACAAAATCAAGAGAATAGAATAAAAATTAATTTTCCTAGCTTTAAAAAATCGATCACAAGCTTCATTATACTCTAAAGCATATTTTTCATGTTTTTCTATTAACGTTAATTATTGAGTAAATTGACTTTTATCTTTAGCATCAAGTTTCCATTGAATTGATATTTTCTTCAACTATTCATAGCGATTACGTGCATTTATTCTCTCACAGTTGTAAGTCACTCATCCTCATCGGTATCTTCATAATTCTGGGATCTTAACCTTCAACTTTCTATATATTTGCAGTGCATCATATAAATAGATTCTTGAATGCGTCATCATCACACACTTTCGTGAGAAAAATAGGAGGCGAGAAAAAGGAAACTGCTTATGAGATGACCAAGTAGATGGATGATCTCTTTCAGAAAAAAAATCTCGCCGTTAGTCCCCGGAATCGCGTAAGTGCGAAAAGAAGTCGGAATACCAAATGTACACCGGAATAAAAAATGTGAGAAGCGTTAATCGGACAGCACGAAAAAAAAGAAAGAAATAAGCGGTATTGCACATATTCTCTTCACATCCCAGTTAACGAAAAGTCCAAAATCGAGACATAAGATAAACGTTTTTAAGACGTTTTTAAGATATTTCAAAAAAAAGGCCTTTAAGACATCTTTTAATCTAGGTTATTTTAAGAGGCACAATCTTATTTTAAGAGACATTAAGTCGTAAAGTCGTAAGAAATTGACCAATCACAGTCGATTATTTTTCTCATATTCAACTGCGATTGATTAATTTTTTAAGGCTTTACGGCTTATGGCCTCTTAAAGCAAGGTTGTGGACCTAGGCTTAGGCATCTTTAAGACGTGTTATGTCTCGTTTTTAAATATGTGTGTTGTCTAGGTTTTTTTGTAAAACTACAAAAAAAAGAATTTACTTACCAATATAATAATTCTTATAACTATATAATACTAACTTTTTTTTTTTTTACTTTCTAGATTCAAGACGATATAACGTTCACGTACGACGATTCGATCGCTCGTAGTCCTCGCGGAACTGCTGCTGCTACTGAACAAGACAGTCAAGTTGTAAAATTATGGGTATTTCCTCCAGTATAGTCTACATCCTATCTCATCTCTGTTTAGAGCCTAACGTGGGATCTCACGTGACTTTATCACATGATCTATGACATATGTTCGCTGTGAATAATAAAATTGATAACTAATTTTAGTTAACATCTGAACTCTTTTGAATGCTTTAGATTGTTTGACTTTCGTAATGACAATAAACACAGTTCGATATAGAAATAAAAAAATAACTACACTTCTGATTTAGTTCTTATTTAATATTTAAAATAAGTTTCGGGAGCTATTTTATATTTTTTATTTTGCATAAGTCATGTCAGTTTTTTTATCGATTCTTTCGATTTTATATTTTAAATAAGTTTCTGAAACTTATTTTATATTTTTTATTTTAAATAATTTGTATGTTATATATATATATTTTACCGAGCCATTATCGACATTACACCTAAGTGTAATTTAAAGAATTTCTGAAACACAGAATAATTTGCAGTAATACTACTGTCTTAAATTAATTTATTAACTGAAAAATTAAATATTAATTAACAAGATGTTTAATATTTTTAGTCAAAGCTGTATTTAGCACAAATTATGTTTTCGCATCTCTAATGCGTGCGTTAATTAACTGTTACCATATTTCTATCGTCTTATTCTATAGTTTATCTTACATATCAGATAGTGGATGCGAACGACGTGTCGATCATTCATTGATACTGTTCATTCGAATCTGCCCAAGCAGAACAACAAGATGATATCAATACAACAAAATGACTTCAAAATGATTTTAAAAGACATTTTTCAATTATTTCCGGTTCGTTTTAACCCTTATAGTACACACGTTAGTTTGAAAATTAAGCCAAAACACGAATGACCGAACGTGTGTATTAACGGTGCCAAAAACTATAAACTAACTCTGGATTTTTATAAAATCGGGAGAATAGAACGAAGATTAGTTTTCACCATCAATAAAAATAATTTTAATGATCTTTCAAAATAAGCACAGTAGATTGCTGCCGTATTGAACCTTTTTATTAGCTACTGTACTTTCTTTCAACAAAAGGATAAGTGGAAGGAAACTCATAATCAGGTAATCGTTAGTCCTTTTGCGGCATGAAACCGTTCTATCATGTTTGAGCATTTGAGTAAATGACATAATATAATGTAACAAAATTTTATGTAGAATGACGTTTTGAAAAATTCGAATAAATGCAATATGTCGAATGGAATAATCATTGTTGAATGAAGCAATTGAAAAGGCTGATAAACGATAACGAGCTTCATTACACTCTTAAAGTACGATCCACATTTTTATTACGGCATTAGTTATCAAGAGATTTAACTCTAGCACCATTTCCGCTCAATCAGTGATATTTTTCCCAACGTTTCATATAAGTGATTGCGTGCATCTGCTCGATCTCCGGCGGTTGTGGGTAATAGAATTACTCAACAGGTGTTTCTCGAACACAGTCAAAGGCAAAATAACATAAGATCGCGATGATCCAAATACTTTAAAATATTTTGTGATTGATAAATTAGAAACATTCTTTTTCTGATTGATCAATCAAATGCTTCAAAGTATTTGTAGTGGAACTGATCGCATCCTCATTTTATATTTTTTAGTTTAGCTAAATATAAATAGAGCTAGTTTAGGTTAAATATAAATAGTGTTAGCTAAACTCACAATCAGTGTCAAAACTGATACAACAGCTTTAGCACCTGAAAACTAGTCGAAATAAACGTATACCCGATTCCGACATACGTCGGAACTAACTTAACCTAACGGTTTCAGAGTTACGGGATGTTGCTTTTAGGAAACACAAATAATGTTATAAAGTAAATGATTAATTTTCTTTATTCTGTTTAAAGCTTTACACAAGTAAATTAGTTAGGTGTTCTAACTTTTACTAGAGGTACTCTACACTAGGCAGTGTACATCCGTGGACAAATTGATTTACTTAGCATGTTGCAAAGAAATAGCCGTGGCGAATCGATGATCTGCAAGGATTCATCTCCTGATCATTCTGTTGATGAAGACGTGTCGTCCACACATATAATACATATGGGACATGGCGTCGTAACACATTGCAAGTATTGTGGCTCGCAGGTCTGGCCTTTCGGACATAAAACGGCGCAGAACTCGGGAATCCAGCATGAGCATATGGGGCAGCAGGTGACAGGATCAGTCTAACGTAAAATGTTAGATCTTTCAATAAAAGTACTTGAAAATATTTTCACGTGACATAAACTAAGATTATTGCATGTGAAGAAAGAATTTATATCTAGTTCAAATTTTTATTTAAAAATGCACGACTTTTACATTTCTATACAAGGTTCCAATTTTAGTCAATCCAGTCAATTTTTCCAATGTTACTAATAATATAAAAATGTTTCAAATGAAAGTGGAACGATTTCAAGAGGGACGTATTTTGTTCACATTATTTTCTTTAGGTGGAGACGTTAAGATCATCTTTACTTTAATTTAATATACAATCAATATTAAACAACTATTTTGATGCAGTCATATTTATAATTTGATGCAGTAACAAATATAGTCTACATGTACGAATATGTCATCTTACCCGTAGTATAATTATGTAATTTCTTATAAATAGACACCATAAAATTACATATGGGTATGTCTAAAATGTAAATTTCTTATTATTGTATATTATCTATTTTTTGTAGACAAATTGAAATCAAATTACAAAAAACTATTTATTATGATCTAAACCCTTTAATGAGTTCAGCATCGACCCGTTATCTGTTATGAGTTTGACAAAATTAGCAATTCGTCATTTTATCCATTTTATCGACTTATTCCTCTCTTGTCCTCGTTTTTGAACATTTTCAATAGGTATTGATAGTTTTAAATTTATATTATATATGTTAAACATAAAGTAGATGTATAGTTTTATATGTATATAGTGGATATATACCTCGTATCCCCAGGTGCAGTTTAAGTTACATATGAGTGGTTGGCAGATTCCGTTGGTGGCATTCTTACTGGTCACTTTGGTACCAATCTCATTGACGGTCGACTCTGCAAATTATTTATTTTATAAATCCAAATAGAATTCGGTTTTTTTGTATTAACAGAGTTAATGCGCGAGACATTAAAATAGTAAAGAAATAATTAAAAGATGCAGATTAAGGATATAACGATGCACTTTGTGCGTAATGGATTTTAAATGTACAAATATATTACTTCATGATTATATCGGAGAATTAAAATATCTTTTATTTTTTACTAGTTGTTAGGTTGACAAAATCAATCCGAATCAAGAAATAAGATTATGGTGTAAAGCATTCATGATGTCGACACAAAATAATAGAATAAAGAATAAGTTAATGCATCAATTCTTACAACATGAAATTTTATTACTAAAATAAAATAACTAACAAGAGAGGCTACTTATTAGTATTGATGAAATTTGCAGGAATATTAGAGTAGAGAG